CGCACGCACGCACACGCACACGCACGCACACACACACACGCGCCGCCGGCGCGCGCGCTATGTGTGCGCAGCCTCCCCGCGGTCCGCCAAAACCAATTACGCGCGAGCGTTTACGTGTTTGCTCCTTTTAGCGGCCGTTTCAAAGCTAATAAAATCAATTAGGGGAATTTAGAGGCGCGAAAATGCCGGCGCGCGAGCAGCGCGGCCGAGAGCAAGCGTCTCTGTCACGCATGCGTCACATTAGCCCTGCTAATGCTGCGTCGGTGCTGGGTGTGGATGGGGGGAGAGAGAACGAGAGGATATGAACGACGTTAGCTCTGAGAAGAGGCAGAGACGTGTGTGTGTTGTGTGTGTGTGTGTGCGTGCGTGCGTGCGTGCGTGCGTGTGCGTGCGTGCGTGTGCGTGTGTTTGTGTGTGTATGTGTGTGTGTGCGTGTGCGTGCGTGCGTGCGTGTTTGTGTGTGTGTGTATGTGTGTGTGTGTGCGCGCACCCGCGCGACGTGACTGAACGTACGTGTGTATTCGCACACGCCTACCTCCTACTAATGACCCACCGAGTGATTAGTGGAACCCCTCTGCATCAAAGAGAGAGGGAGGGAGGGTTGATAGATAGGGGAGAGTCAAATGAGAGAGAAATCGTGAGAGAGACAAAGAGAGCGAGAGCGGCGGACACCGCTACATGATCGCATCTAATACAGGTGTAATTCGGCGGCAATATAACGGCCCCCCTAACGCCTGTCAGTCACTCACGCTGAAGGGGTCGTTGTCGTATCAGCTACTACAGATATGTACCCGAAGTACATATATGTATACACAAAGTGTACGAGACTTGTACTACAGAAGTGTACCCTAACCTTTACTCTAACCCTAACCCTAGCCCTAACCCTAGCCCTAACCCTAACCCTAACACTAACCCTAAACATACCTCATATAAAAATATAAACATAATACTAAACAACCTAAAACTACCTCGGGTACATATCTGTAGTACCTGATACGACAACGACCCTATCTGCGTCACTCACGGCTACGATCGCGTGACGGATGTCGCTCCTTGTGGCGTCCGCAGCGCGTGTGCGATAGCGCGCCGCTCCTCTCTCATCCCAAAAGGTTGGCGTCGACATTTGGCGGTGACGCGAAGGGCGAAAGAGTTAAAGCCGCACTATGCGCATCCAAACGCTAATTTCTCCAGTACTAGACTAGCAAATCCTTCGTGTCATGCATAATTACACTACCTTATGGCAAAATAAACTCTAGTTCCTCCTATTTCAGTGCGCGTTTGCTTAAAACCCACAAGAAAATGTGCGAAATCTGGTAATCTGGCGCCAACGCTAAATTGTTTGCCAAACAATTTCGCCAAGAATCGATTAGGTTACGTCACATGTTTTTATTTTTGCTACACCCGTACCGCTGTACCGCAGCACCGCTCCACGGTTGCTTGGCAGAGCAACGCGAAAGTGTCAACAACATCGGAGAATTTGAACAACATTGGAGGTATTTTCAAATGCCGTTTATAAGACAACGCGCAGTGAAATGGGAGAAACTAGGGTTTATTTTGTCATAAGGAAGTGTGATTATGCATGACATGAAGTATTTGCTAGTTTAGTACTGGAGAAATTAGCGTTTAGATGCGCATACTGCGGCTTTAAGCGATATTAGAGACGGAGATCGCTCGCAGAAGAGTAGCAGCAGTAGCAGCAGTAGAAGCAGTAGCAACAGCAGCAGCAGCAGCAGCAGCAGCAGCAGCAGTAGTAGCAGTAGCAGCAGCCGCAGCAGCAGCAGTAGCAGTAGCAGTAGTAGTAGCAGCAGCAGCAGCAGCAGTAGTAGTAGCAGTAGCAGTAGCAGTCGCCGTAGCAGTAGTAGTAGCAGTAGTAGCAGCAGCAGCAGCAGCAGCAGTAGCAGTAGCAGTAGCAGTAGCAGTAGCAGTAGCAGTAGTAGCTCCAAGAAACGGTATTGCTAGGGATAGAAATGACGTCTGTATATTGACGTCAGTCACACAGCCTGGTCGGGTTATAGCAGTAGCAGCAGCAGTAGCAGCAGCTGCATCAGCAGCAGCAGCAGCAGCACCGATAAATGATGCTGTTGCTGCTGCTGCGTGGATCGATGCGTGTGATCGCCTAATCCTTCGGGATAAATCCGTTATTTATGAGCTTATCTGGAATTAATGTGGCTAATTTTAGAAGCGCCGCGTACGACAGGTGTAGTGTTTTTACGTAAATTGATAATTGATGTCGGATGCTGCAAGAAGTGGTGTGAGATTGACGAGTGTGCGTGTGACAGACAGACAGACAGACAGACAGACAGACAGACAGACCTACGGACAGTCGGACTGACGGACTGACGGACGGACGAACGAACGGACGGACGGATGGACGGACGGACGGACGGATGGACGGATGGACGGACGGACGGACGGACTGGCAGACAGAAAGACAGACAGAAAGACGTACAAGGAGAGACGGACAGACACTCAGAGAACCAGACGGACCGTTGGATGGACAGACGGCTGGACGTACACACACCCACAATTAAGCGTAATTATAGAAGGAATGGCCGAGTTTAGGCGAGAGAGCTGTACGTCTAGAGAGAAATATTTAAGAACCGATTAAAGGGCGCGTAAGTCAACGCGTGGCGACAAACAGAGCGACGGTTTAAGTGCGAAGGTAAACGAAGAGCGATTGAGATTGATTGTGAGAAAAAATGAGATGACCGGAGTTGGAGAGAGAGAGAGAGAGAGAGAGAGAGAGAGAGAGAGAGAGAG